GACACATAAATAAGAAATTAGTGGAAACACAGTGGCAGCAGTACTTAAGAGCTTTAGACCAAGCCATAGTACCACTAGGTCAGAGTGGCAGTGGCCATTCTCCTGAAATGCCATCATGGACAGTGTAGTATCTGTACCATCTACCTTTGAAAAACTGATGGGCTACCAATGGAAATCAAAGTTTCAGTGAAAGCTCAGTCTGTGGGATGGACATGCATACAATTGGCTGTTATAGATGGCACCCAAGAAAGTAGACCCTTGCTTCCTTTGTCTGAGTCAGTCATAAAGAAATGAAGGTGGACATAGGAATATGTGAATTGCACTAGTGAAAAGTATACTGTAGTGCAGCGGTCCCCAAACACCGGGCCGCACAGAAAGAAGAAAAAAAAGTTTGATTGTTTTGTTTTTATTTCAGGGTGTTTCATTTTGAAAAATAACTGGCTTGTCTTCCCGTCACTTCCGTCTGTGGTTGTTTTCCGCATTTGACTGTCAGTTTTCATGACCAGCCGTTCAACGAAGCCGTCAGTCTAACTGCTGCCAAAATGTATAAAAAACAAACGTATCCGGAAAGCTTCTTTGGAAAGTGGGAGTGCCGAGACAGAAGAAAAAGTAAACACATATTTGGCAAGTAATTTTATTCGTGAAACTTTTTAATAGTAAAAACAAATATTTTTTGTTATGTGCACAATGACCGGTCCGTTGAGAACTTTCTTGCGTAAAACCAGTCCGTAGTGCAAAAAAGGTTGGGGACCACTGCTTTCGTGGACCTTCATTGCATTGAGTTTCTTCTGTGGGGTATTTAGTTTTATTGTAATAATTAAACAGTTAGTTTTTGTAATTTGACACAAGTGGGGACACCCGACTGTTCAAATTAGCAATACGTGTCAGGTATTTAAAAGTTTTAAATACTTTGATATTTGATTGGTTTTGCACAGGCCTGTACTCACCTCTGTTGTATAATGTATCAGTGCTAATATTATACCTGATATTAAGCCATCTTCTTTATATAACAAAATTAGATGTATTTTGCAATGGTAGGTCAACTCTTTGCTACTAACATATTCTAAACTGAGGGAAAGAAATATAGTCATTCATTTTAAAGTCATAGCATTCAAATGTCTTTGCCTAATGTAATAAAAATGTGTAAACCTTTCTTTTGTTTGGAGGGAGTGGAAGTTATTAATACTGCATGTACTTTCCACTTCTGAAAACCAGTAGAAATATAAAATAAAAGCTGCCTTAAATTCATTCATTCTATCCCAGGAGATGTTTGCCTGCTCAAGATCACTTTTTGTATTGTCTATGATTGTAACAGAAGGCTTCCCAATAGCTATTGACTGTACTGCAGGTCATAAACATAATTTGGCTAGTAAACATTTCTTTGATAAAATAATACTATTCATCCTGTTCATTGTGACCTTTACAGTGTATCGTATTGTGTCATTGCTGTACTCTCACAGGAACAGCCTTGTGTTATGTATGTGTTTGTGCTGTATACTGCGTGCGTAGTTTTGCATTCATGTGTGTCTTATGACATTTGATGTCCTGAGTGAATTTGTTCAGCTAACTAACACAACAAGGAGTGTCTGAGTCATCAATACAAGGCTACTGGGCTAAGCTAAAACACTATATGATCAACACAATCAAACGTTGAAGGAAACTTATTCAGGTTAAGTAAGTACAAGTCCACAAACCGGAATTTATGCTTCTGTCCTCCGATGAGAGCCCATTACTTTTTCAGCAAAATAGCATGAGCAGAGAGTTTGCTTAAAGGATTTATGCCATCTCTGCTCATTTAAAGTATTGAGTAATTGTTCATTTGCTAATTGCCCTCAAAGACTTTGGAACACATTTTCAGCTAGATATATCAATGTAATCAGAACACAGTTCTGACAGTGTGACCTATAAGACAACACAAATACAGCTTTGTAAGAAGTCTAATTTAAAATGTGTGAAAACTGATGTAATTGTCTCAGTATGCAACATCTTGTAAAAAAAAAAAAAAATCCCATATTTTATCTCAGACATTTTTCCATTTCAGGCTGCAAGGTGACTCGGTGGTTAGCACCGTCGCCTCACAGCTAGAAGGTCGCCGGTTCGCGTCACGTGAGGACACCCGGGATCTTTCTGCGTGGAGTTTGCATGTTCTCCCCGTGCAGCGTGGGTTCTCTCCGGGTTCTCCGGCTTCCTCCCACACAGTCCAAAAACATGTTGAGGTTAATAGGTGATTTTAAATTGTCCGTAGGTGTGAATGTGAGTGTGCTTGTCTGTCTCTAAATGTAGCCCTGTGATAGACTGGTGACCTGTCCAGGGTGTCCCCTGCCTTCACCCTTAGTCAGCTGGGATAGGCTCCAGCCCCCCGCGACCCTAGTGAGGATTAAGCGGTGTATAGAAAATGGATGGATGAATGGGTTTTTCTATTTTCCACAAAAACATAAAACATCTTCATTTTACACATTTACAGCAATAATGTCCAATTTTGACATTGTGTCTTTTTCTCTTTGCTAAAAAGACAGCCGCCTGTTCACTGTGAACTCTTACAATAACAGTGGGGATGCAAAACTATATCTATGTTTTGTTGTGTGTTTGTTTGTTTTTTGTCTTTTTATGTATTTGCTTTTAATCCCTCAGCCTGATTTACATTTTCTTTTCTACATATTAGCTTGCAGATCTTTTAAATCTCTTTGGAGTTACTCTGAGAGTCAGTTATGAATATTGACCAACATGTTTTAGTGTCTACCTTACAGTAAACTGTGAGTGAGCTGTGTGTATATATATATATATTCCCCAGAAGGGAAATTCAATTATTATTTATTATATATATGTGTGTGTGTGTATATATATCATAATACAAATACTTAGATACTTACTTTTTTTTTCTGCTAATGAAACCCGTCTTACAAAAAGTCCTAATTAACATATCAGAATATGTTGTAGTTCATAACATTGGTAATATAATACATACTAGGATTTATATGGACTTGTTGATTTCATCCATCCATCCATTATCTATACACCGCTTAATCCTCACGAGGGTCGCGAGGGGGCTGGACTCTATCCCAGCCAACTAAGGGCGAAGGCAGGGGACACCCTGCACAGGTCACCAGTCTATCGCAGGGCTACACTTAGAGGCAGACAACCAAGCACACTCACATTCACACCTACGAACAATTTAGAATCACCAATTAACCTCAACATGTTTTTGGACTGTGTGGGAGGAAGCCGGAGAACCTGGAGAGAACCCACGCTGCACGGGGAGAACATGCAAAGGATCCCGGTGCCCCCACTGGGACGTGAACCAGCAACCTTCTAGCTGCGAGGCAACAGTGCTACCAACTGCGCCACCTTGCAGCCCTGTTTTTTTCATAATATATCAATTTATTAATTCAAATTCTCTTTCATACAGTTCATACTGCTTGAAACCTAATGTAGGAGTAGTAGTAGGAAAGTAGTTGAGATATGTTTGGGGCAGGTTAAGTGTGTATACTACTAACATAACAACTTTACCTCAGTTTCCCTTTAATAGACTTCTGCAATATTTTGTATACTGTTCTACAACAATTTAGTAAATTGTTTCAGGTTTTCATTCATGACAGAGTTGTGCTTTGAGAATTCAATACCAATACCATATATATCAGAGTTTAGAGAAGTGCATTACTGAGGAGATTCCTATTCCCAAGCCTTTTTGCAAGGGCATGCTGACTTATTGACTAGCATCACAAAGGAAAATATAAGCAAAAGATTATTAGTAATTATCTTTTGCTAATATTTCTCTCATGCAAAAGCTAACTACTATTCAACAAGTGCGATCACAATATTCTAAAATGAGCATTTACTGCCTTTATGCAACAGTTTTGGCAAAACAGAGCATGTTGTTGTTTCCCATAGCAAAGTGACTTTTGAAAACCGTAACATGCAGACAGTGGAAGGAGAGGAAAACGCCTGCTGACATGAGTGGCCAATGGCAGGCTCATACCTGCAGCGTGTATCCGACTCAGACTAGGCTGAAAGCAACAGCCGATGCAACATTGCATCATCACCTGTTCATGTCAGTCTTATCTGATGCAATCGGAAAGAAATATTGCTATATACTTAGGAATTTGGGGCAGCAATTGCAATTTTAAAGGGTGATGCACTTTCTTTGAACACCAGTTTATGTGTATATCACTGCTGTAGGTTTTGTGTTTTATATACTTACTATCTGCATTTCTTTGGTGGTGCAGGCTTTTATATCAGCAACTAGTTCGTCCCAAAATGTTTACTGTGAAGCTCTAATGAAAGTCATGTACCACTGCACGGTGTGCAAGCTAATTGCACCAGATATGAACAGTGAGAACAGTTCTAGCATTAACAGAATGGCAGTTTGCAGAGTGGAAATGAGCAGCAGCAGTGGACAGGTGGATGCTAGTGGATGTGACTGGTAAAGATGTGGTTCATGCAGCAGAGCAAACCTTTGCAATACATGTGCGTGTGATCCAACTATGTTTTACTACCAGCACTCTAAATGTTTTATTAAGCTGCTCTTAGTGTTTCCATTCCTTTAGGGCTGTCAGAAAAAGTAGCTTGGGGAAGTTTTAGATTGTATTAGATTACAACAAAAAAATGTTTCTGGAGTTTTTCTTGAGGTCATTTGAGATGGTGGTTAAAGTCTAGCTTGGATCCATGGTGACAGCAGAATTCCTCACGTTTCTTATCTCGTTGTCGCCATTGGGCCTAAGTGAATAAATGCAAAGAAACCAACCCTTATCTTATTGTATATGATATGTTGTCATTATAGTGTGAGCTTCCGCAAACAAACAGGAAACTTCTTTAAATTCTATACTTGAAATGCTAAAATATAAAATAAACATACTTAGCACATATTTTGTTTCATTTTAGCATTTATAGATGTATTTGTCTTTGCCATGAGACTGCTTTTCATGGCATGTGTTGATACAGTAAGAAATTCTGCTATCATTCTAAATAACAAAGCAGAGATAAATGTGAGAAGTGTGTCTTACCTTCTCAAGCTGTGCATTCTGTTTGGACTTGTAGAGGAACTCTCCCACGGCCACAAACACGGAGAGAACAAGTCCAGCCGCCAGGACGATGAAGATCCCTCCAATATTTTGCACCCCGAGGGCACTGGCCTCCTTACTCTCCTCCTCAGGACAACCATTTCCTCTCCACCACTTCTCCTTCATCATGTGTAACTTCCCTTCCTCCTGAAGCTGCAGAATGGCAATAGTGATCTTATCTCTGTATGGGGAGCCTAAAGGACCAAAATACATGATGACTCAGTCAGTGCTTTTAGCTTTCACCTAGTGGAGGACACAGATTGTCATTGTTATTATAACAGGTATATGAAGGCGTGGGAAGATAGCATTTTTTTTTTTTTTTTTTTGTCGTCTTCTTTAAATTAAAATTATGATTTGTGTTTTGATTAGTTTCTGGAATTCAATCAATCACAGAGTTGGGTTGTAGTACTTGACTATATTTGATATAGAAATGACGTATTCATCCCATTTTAAGTCTACTGCCACTAGTATTTAAAATAACTGATACTAAGCATATTTTACATGGACTAACCCCCAAAAATTCTGCTTCATATCATCTAAAACTGTATTTTTCTATACAGTATTCTTTCTGATAAAATATGATTGGATTTTGATAAATCAATATGACGATTGAGCAGAACAGTAAATTTAGCTCACACATGTTCAGTAGTCAGTTTTAGTTATTCATTTTAAACGATCCTGTTAATTCTTCCCTGTCTCATTTACTTTTTTACACATAGTGAAGAACTACACTGAACAAAAATATAAACACCCCATGTCAGATATTGTTGCCATGTGGAGTTAACAACTGTAAATGAGCAAGTTATGCAGGAGCGTGCCATTGGCATGTTGGATACAGGGATGTCCACCAGAGCAGTAGCTGCACGGCTCAATGTCCATTAGGATCATAGGCCATGTAAGAATTCGTTTCCAACAGACTGGCACTACTGCAAATCGACCTCATCCTCGTCGGCCACGTGTGACCACTCCAGCACAAGATCGCCACATCCGGCTCGTCCATCTGCGGGATTGGCTAAGACCAGCGACAACACAGCTGATGAGACTATTGGTCTGCACAACAGACGCATCACACCTCAGACTGTCCGTAACCGCCTATGAGAAGCCAACTTGCATGCTCGGCGCCCTCACCGTGGTCTGGATCTCACTGCTGTCCAACGTAGGAACCGACTCACATGGGTGAATGCACATGTCCGATGGCCCTTGGCACGCTGGAGAAGAGTGATGTTCACAGATGAATCCAGGTTCCAGTTGTATCGTGCAGATGGAAGACAGGGTGTCTGGTGACGCGTGGGTGAACGGTTTGCAGATGCAAATGTTATGCCCAGGGTTGCCCATGGAGGTGGTGGCATTATGATGTGGTCAGGCATCACATACCGGCATAGAACACCATTGCACTTCATTGAAGGGAACCTTAATGCACAAAGATATCGGGACGAGATTCTCACCCCAATTGTTGTGCCGTTTGTGCGCCAGCATGACATCACCTTTCAACATGACAATGCCCGACCTCATGTTGCCCACATCTGCATGGAATTCCTTCAGAGGACATTGAAGTTCTGGACTGGCCTGCATATTCGCCAGACATGTCCCTAATAGAGCATCTTTGAGATGTTCTGGATAGGCGTGTCCGGGACCGTGTTCCAGTTCCAGGCAATGTGGGTCAGCTCCGTGTGGCACTCCAGGAGGAATGGAGTAACATTCCACAGGCCACCAAAGACAATCTGATCAACTCCATGCGAAGAAGATGTGTTGCTCTGAGAGACGCAGCTGGCGGACACACAAGATACTGAAAAATCAAATTCCTCAACCTGACCCCTATCGTGTTCAAAGGACTGTCAATCCGCTACAAACCGCCATACCACGATGTTATCAATGCCGATATGAAGATCAGTAATTACTGAAAATATATTTTGAGTTTCTATATATTGCGTAACCCAAATGTTCATAAAACTCTTATATTTGACATGGGGCGTATATATTTTTGTTCAGTGTATTTCAGAACAACAGTAAAGTTGGAGAACAACCATAAATACATCCTACCTGTACAATTAAACACACTCAACTCTCTGAAAAATCCAACTGAGGACATTCACCCCATTTAAATAAACTCCACTAAAACCTGACTACTTAGGTTAGGTTTCTCCAACAGCTACTAACAAAATACATTTTAACAATTACATAAACAGGTTGTTTGCATTGTCTCATGTAAAATTATTAATATTATATATCTTTTTTTTCTATCTATTATCCAAACAGCTATGACTTTTAAGACCTTGAAAAACAAAACATGAAACACAGATTGCTAGGAAAAAGGCAAAATGTGTCCAGCATCTCTCGTTCATAGTCAAGACCCTTTTTCAGTTGGGTCGTTTTAAATGATGGAATAATGACTCTATCAGAAACTCTAAGTCCACATTTCATACATTCGCAACAGAGCTCGAACCCCATTCCTAATAAGAACTTCAAGACATAAAGGTTTTACACTTCAAACACATGCACTGTCATTATTAGAACCATTATTATCATCATTCAGTTATAATGCCGCTGTGCATTTAAATGTATAGCAGCAAATTGATGATTGTATTAGGCTGAGGGTAGGTTTCATCCATGAAGTTGAAAAACAGTTGCAAAGTATAACATAGTAGGTCACATAGTAATATGGATCACCGCGAAAATTCTGTCAATGCTAGAATGAACGTATAGTCGATGTATGTTGGTGCTTCAGCTGCAGAAATTTTTGTCAAGTGAACATAAATGAGATATGTGTAAAATAAGAGACCTTTATTTATGTATGCACTTGGAAAAGAAACAAACCAACAATAAAAGATATATCATTCATCCTCATATCCTTTGGATATTGGTTCGCGCAAAAAAAAAAAAAAAAAACAAAACAAAACAAAAAAAACCCAAAAAACACAGACATTATTAAATCCCAATGCAATTCACAATTATACTAAATCCTTTAATATTACAGACAGTAGCTTAGCAGTAGCAGTAGCAGTAGGCTTACCTGTGCTGTGACTGCAATATTTAATGCAAAGTATTGGGTATCTTTTAGTGGACCCCACAGAAATTGTATATGTTTATGCTGTTTGTTATCCCTCTTGTCTTTGATACCACATTGCTCTCACATGCATACACAGTGATTATAATAATGATAGGACCAACTGAATAAACTCAATTATGTATAAATATACTGTCTAGTATTGATACCGATGTAAGTATTGCAAATGTTTTTTGTTGTTGTTGTTGTTGTTTTTTTTTTTTTACAGATTAGCTCTTTTTGCATCCCCATAGCTGTTTTCAGCCTGCTTCAAAAATGTTCACACTGTCCAGATTACAAGACTTCTACACCTGCCAAAAGCAGTTAACTGGTATTTAATTGTATATGTCCCATATTTGTCAGCATAGTCAACATTTTTGTGGCTAAATGTCCATAGAATTTAACTTCATTCTTATTGTGAAGCTATACGACATATTGTAATTTGCATCTTAGGTTTACATTCACTGAACTGAGGCTAAAGAGTAGGAATTGGATTTAAATTCTACTTTGGTTAATGACCAATTTGTATTTTTTTTTTAACAACTTGTACATTTTTGTTATTTCTTTGTGTGCTAAGTAGCAAATGTTAGCTTACAAACATGCTAAAATTTGATTTCATTTAACTGCTAATAATATATCAGCATTGTCATTTCAAATTTTTTATTGATTGTAATTGTTTTTATCTGTTTTGTATAAATATTCTATCTTTTTTGTTCCAAGTTAAGCTTTGGTTTTTAGTTGTTTTTTCTGTTTTGTTTGTTCTTATTTAATTTAGAAAAATCAATGCTTGCAGCTTTATTTAATGGATGCTCGGCTTTAAAACCTCTTACCTATTGTCAGTGAAGATTTTGTACATTCCATTCTGCTTTCCAGTGTATTTAAATGTACATGTTTACTGTTTTAAATTATTATTACTCATGGCTACAATTACCATTTCATTGTCCCCACAGGCTCAACAACACTAAACTAATAAACCTAAAATACCTCTGCGGGGCTCATATTTCGACTCATTTTACCTGTATAGCTGCATAATTAAAACCAGTTGCCATAGTTAATCTGTGCTAATGTTTTCACTGTGAGCTGTTTCCTTGCCATAATAAGTTAACATCCACAAAGTAAGCCTTGAAATGTTCTCTCCTGTATACATGAGATGTCTCTGCAGCAGCAAATGAGATTGTGTTCTCCTCTATTTCCCCAGCAGCCCTGCACTTCTCCTCCCACTCCAGCAAGGTAAAATACTTCAGCAACTTCCCCAGCTCTCCTGATCAAAAACAGTCGCACGTTGAGATCACTGATTAAACCTGAAGGGTGAAGCCTTGAAAAAAATAAAAAAAGAATCCTGCCAGACACCCACTTCTCAAACCGCTCTGTGGTACACAGTACGCTGCAATCAGGATGTTAATGCAGCTTGAATTATTTAAAAAACTAATAACACCTATTATTGCAAACAATTAGAACGAGCTCTCCCTGGAGCACAGGGGGAAAAACATGTTTAGATTAGAAAATATGATCAGTTTTCTAGCTGTAGTGCAGTAGAGATCACTGTGATTAGTAGATAGTATGCAGAAATAGTTTAGCAACATTATTATGCTGTAAACTCAAAAGACCCTAAACAGTGACAATGATAAGCTGCACTCCCTCGGTAGAGCAGAGCTTCCAGCCGTAGCACTCAGCCTCATGGCAGTGTGGCAGTCACAAGGCCATGCTCACACTCTTTAACATCTCTTCTGTTCTTCTTCTATGCCCAAGGGCTTCTGGTATCTGAATCTTTATTTCAGAGCAAGCAGCCAGCACATTTCAAAAACATCTATCACCATGGTGATGGAAAAAAAAAAGAATCCTGTTTTGGTCCTTGTTATTCATTGCTATCTACAGTGGATACGTTCCCTTCACTCTAGAGTGGAACAATAAGCCAACGTGTGCCAGATAAGTCACTTGCTACTGAAAAGACACAGGCATATTTGAAACTGGGCCAACTCTGCCCGATCAAAACAAACAGGAAGACCTCAGATGTGATATCATGGTCAGGATGAACACAAGCACTGTGTCATACAGTAGAGACCTGCGATGCACTGCGCCAGCTCATTCTTGGCAACAGTCATAACCCACATTCTCATGAGCATAAAATGGGTGGAGAATCTAAAGCCTTCT